TAACCAAACCCGCTGGAACTCAGGTAAGCAGATATCAAGATGGAGACCCCAAAGAAAGATCTGTTTCCTAGCACCAGGTCAGCCATCTTATTGGATGAATTGCCGATCTATATAGCCTATTTGGCCACTCGTTTTGCACACTGAATGAGGTAGACTATGGGTCCATCAGTACTGCACACAGAATCCAAACTCTATGGTTTATTTTCAAAATACTTTTTTTTTTTTTGCTTTAGAGACCTAAACCCAATCTGAATTCAGAACATTTGAAGGAACAGTTTCATACGAGCCCCCTAGATTATTAAAATTTCTCTGAAAGATGGGCAGATATTCTAAGGGTGCTGCATGAGTTGCAGTAGGAGCCCCCAACCCCCAGTCTACGGCATGCCAGAAACTGGGCTGTGTAAACCAGTGAAGCCCCATCTGTGGGATGCAGACAGCATATGAAACCACGTCCCCTCCAGTCCACAGAAAAACCTCCCTCCACAGAATCAGCCCCTGGTGCCCAAAAGGTTGGGGGCCACTGATCTACAGTATAGTGGAAAGATGAGATGGGTCCAGTGAGAGGAAAAAAAAAATAAACATTTGGCCTGAAATAAAGTGCAGATGTGTTGTCTTTGGTATTGAGAAGGTTCTAGAAACAGCGGTGGGGGGGGGGGACACCAAGTCCTGCTCCTGGAAAGGACCAACCAAGATATCTCTTTTCCACCCCTCAAGCGCAAGGCAAATTATTTGTTCCGTGATTATTTGGCAACTTAAATATAACCTTAAACAATAAGGAACATTAGTGTTTAATACAGGTAGTCCTCAACCTACAATCACAATTGAGCCCGAAATTTCCATCGCTAAGCAAGGCAGTTGTGAAGTGAGTTTTGCTCCATTTTATGACCCTTTTTTGCCACAGTTGTTAAGTGCAGTTAAGCGAATCTGGCTTCCCTCCCAATGAATTTGCTTATCCGAAGCCAACTGAGAAGGTTACAAATGGTGGTCACAGGACCCCTGTGACAGTGCAACTGTCAAAATTACATGCCAGTTGCCAAGCGCCCAAATTTTGGTCACAGCACACGAGGATGCTGCAGCAGTCTTAAGTGTGAAAACCGGTCATGTCACTTTTTCCCATGCCGTCCTAATTTTGAATGGTCTCTAAATGAATGGTTGTAAGTTGAGGACAACCTGTAGTGAGAATGCTAGCTAAATGTCTGGAACCTCTCATTGGCAGCCTATAGTTTTCAGGTATGCAAACTTTGGACAGTGCAATATCCATCAAGAAGGCTCTCCATTAGCTAAAATGGTCTTGGGGTGCCTATTATATTTGTAGGAAGATGACCTTCCTTACATAGTTGAACTACGACTCCTAGCTGCTCAAGGTAGCAGAGTCAGCAGTGTTGGAATTTAGCAATATTTGGAGGGTCATCGGATCCCCGCGTCTATTTTCTTTTTACAATATATTTTATACGTTATAGGAAGCAGCTAGTGGTTCCTACCATTTTTCAATCAAATGACACCCTTTTATTGAAGTTTCTTGTGTTATTATATTAAACAAATAAAGACTGAGGACAGCAGAGCATTAGGGCAACTTGTTTCTGTAAAGGTATTCAAAGTTAAGATTTTCTGGTTGGATTAGCATCTTTTTTTCCCCGCTCTTCATTATGCTGTCAGGTAACTGAATGTACGTAAATAGCAATAGCACTTAGACTTATATACCGCTTTATAGTGCTTTATAGCCCTCTCTAAATAGTTTACAGAGTCAGATATTGCCCCCAACAATCTGGGTCCTCATTTTACCGACCTTGGAAGGATGAATGGCTGAGTCAACTTAAAGCTGGTCAGGATTGACTTTCAGGAAATGAGCAGAGTTTGCCTGCAATACTGCATTCTAGCCACTGTGCCACTAGGGCTCTAAATCTAATAATGGACTAGAACAAGGAAAACTCATTTAATGTTGTCTTTCAAGAGCTAGTCAAATAAATAAAAAAATGTAGTGTTCTTTTTTTAACTTTGTTTGCTGCCCAGAGTTACATATGTGAGCTGAGAGTCTATATCAGGGGTAGGCAACCTTGGCTCTTTTATGACTCGTGGACTTCAACTCCCAGAATTCCTGAGCCAGCTATGCTGAGGGGAAAGGGAGAGGTTTCCAAGCTGAGCCATGCTGGCTCAGGAATTCTGGGAGTTGAAGTCCACGAGTCATAAAAGAGCCAAGGTTGCCTACCCCGGTCTATATATATATTTAATATTTAAATTTGTATTGAAGATTCTATTTAATATCTATTGAAGAATCTCTGAGGTCTATTTTAAAGGGTCCTGAGGGTAAACAATTGCATGCATTACCAGCTTTCCCCAAAAATAAGACCCAACCAGAAAATAAGTCCTAGCATGACATTTCAGGTTGCTCGTAATATAAGCCCCACCCCAAAAATAAGTCCTAGTTAAGATTGTCAGCCAGCATTTAGTACCGTATTTCCCTGAAAATAAGCCCTAACTGGAAAATAAGCCCTAATGCATCTTTTGGAGCAAAAATTAATATAAAACCCGGTCTTATTTTGGGGAAAACATGGTAATACAACACAAAACATAACTGAAAAAGAAAGGCACATGGAGGGAGAAAAAAGTGAACATGTAAAGAAATAAGCTGGAAATTATAATGGCAGTCGAATCTCCAGTAAGGGCAAACTGAAGAGAGGACCACATTCTGTCCAAAAATCTTCCATTTGCAGAAACTGTGTGGTTGAAATCTCTCTAGAATTAAAGAGAGATCATGTGATTAATCATACGTTATGTGTACAGCTGCATTTTTCAGAATTGATGGCAGGAATCCTGCTTTTTCAATCAGCCGAGAATCGCGGGATTCCATCATACTTATATAGCTGCTAATGTCGCCATATGGAAACATTTGGTTTGTTCACTTTGTACTTTATTTATATTTTTCTTTAGCCTTCTTTAAAAATTAAGAACTTTTGGGTTTCAAATTTTATTGAAATCACCTAGTCTATGTCCTTTAATCTTTAAAAAAGAACAGGTTATCTATAAGTTTAAAGATTTGGATTTTCTGGAATATACAGCAAGAGTATGATTATTGTTGGCTTTGGAAAGTGTCACATGGATTAGGGCTCAGATGGAATCTGATGTAACATTTTGATGTTGATTTAAAGGAATCTCTTCCATGAGAAAAAGCTTAGCTTACACTTATACTGATAAGATTTTTGAAGATTACAGGGCACCAGATACCTACTTTAAAAGGAATGTTTGACTCACAGCAACAGGAAGGTTTTGAACTATTTAACCCTTTACTAGCATTGGCTGGTGTAACTCCAGACTATCAACCCCCATTGAATGAATAAAACTGAAACTGATTTACAGATGGAAATAAAAATAACAATTTACAAAGGGATATGGCAATAATGGATTTACAAATGAAAGATGAGGACTCAAAAATGGAAAAAGCAATACTAATGATTATAAACCAGATGAGTGCTTTGAATGATTTCTTTATAGAAATTTACAAGAGGGATTTGCTGGAGTTGCTATGTTGGAAGTAGAAAGAGGGCTTGATAAAGGTGAAGAAAATAACTTTGAGAGAACAGAAGAGAGAAGGACAATCAATGCAAATGCTGGAACTTTCCCTGAGGATTTTAAAGACTATCAGAAGAAAGAATACAAACTTAATCTATTTGGCCAAGGTTAAAATAATGGACTATTATTTGGACAAATGTTTAATGGCTTTTTGATTAGGACTGGATGAAAATATTTTATTTTATTTCAGGTAATATTTAATTCTTTTGGGGGGGGGTTGTGTGGGATTGAATTTTGATTATTTCAAGAGAGGATTTTTTTTTTAAAAGGAAAGGATGGATGGAGATTGGGTGTAATAGATGTAATTTGTAATAATTCTGCTGTCATTTCTGATAACCCCTTTTGCCCGCTGGGTAGTTTAACAGGGAGTGCTGCTGTTTAATAGGGAGTGAGGAAGTTTTAGAGATGGATTTATAAAAACTGTGGGAAGATATGGAATGAGAAGATATTTGATTTTATTTTAAGAGACTGATAAGTTCTTAATGTTGATTATATTTGCTGGGGATAAAAGGGGAAGTTTTCTCAGGATGTGTTTTTTTGTTTGTTTTAAATTAAAACAAAAATAACTATCCACTCCCACCTCAAAATAAATAATATGGGGCAGGAAGCTTGGAAGGTGTCACGAAGAGTGTCCTTGATGCTCATAACTGATGTATTACTCCAGCACCATAGAGTTGGAACAGGAGTATTTACCATTTTCCTAGGCTAATCCATCTAGAGATCTATCTTAAAATGACAGAATATAACTAATATCAATATCAGAAATCTTTCTCTCTTTTTTTGTATTCTGAGCTTTTTATTCAGGCAGATCAAGAAGATGAATAGCTATTAAGTACACATTCCAAGTCTGCTTTTGCTAGGGAGTAACTCTGGGGTTTTCCAAATTAATGTAGTCTACAATTCCTCCTATGCTGCAAGATGCAAAATTGGAGCCAAACATATCACTTTTCTCATGGCTGGGATTCGGCCAGTTTCCATTCCAGAAACATCCTGCTGTTATGTTCAACCAAATAACTTCACCCTATATTGGTACCATATTTTTGAAAGTTGGTGCCATATCTTGAATGAAATGCTGGCATGTCAATACTCCTTTATGACACATGAAGCAGACATTTTAAAATACTACTCATAGGAGCTGTTGAGAGTGGCATTGGATGTAGACAAGCAACACCCTGTCTGAATTAAATATAAAACTAATTGTGCTAGGCTAGCCCAGAATTTACAAGGACTTTCATAGCAGCTTGGGTACAAATGTTGTTGACATAACAGGCAAGAAATCCTGATAATCAGTTCTTAAAGTCAAGTTAGCTTTGGGAATATGCTTGAATAAGTCAAGTTAGCTATGGCACAAGGAACAATCAAAGTTTTTGATTCTGAAAGTGAAGATTGAATTCCCTGAACTACAAGCATTAAAAAAATGGGCCATAATCAGGTTTATGATTAAATTTCAATTATATTTTATAAAAAATAATTAACTTTCACAGAAGTGAAGAGATACAGGTACACAATGGCGGACACAATGGTATAAATACAGATCATTGAGAAACTGCTTGCAAGAGATTAAAAACAGACTGTACAGCACCGCATCTGAAATTGTGTAATAGCCAATGGGATTTTTACTCTTTCTACCCTTAAAGTAATCCAATCCATAACTGATTAATTTTGGAACACTGCTTTTAAAAATTCACACCCTTGCCCCGAAGAATTCTTCTCAATTTTCCCTCAGATGATTGTTCAAATATACTTTAATGTTGAGCAATTATTATTACTTTTTAAAAAATGATGATGGTAGAAAAAGACATTCATGCAGTTTTACACCACCGTTAGTCTCTGATTCTAATATAAGGCAGATCATTAATTTTTTTTTTTTAAAACAATGTCTTTCCCACTGAAATAAGAATTTAGTACTTTCCATGACAAAGTCACAGCAGGCTTTATATACTGTTTAGAAAGATACCTGTATTATGAACTAGGTCATTTTAAAAGAAAGACTTTGCCATATTTGGAATATATTACATTGTAGAAAAATCCTCCTCCATTAATTTTTACTGAGAAAGAAAAAAGAATTTGAAAGAAACCCAGCAGGATGCTTTTTGAGTTCGGCACAACGACACTCTTTCGGGTGGCTAAAAGTCCTGGTTGATACCTATGTGTCATCTTCTGTTTTAATAATGTGGAAAAGAGTGACGTTGAATAGGACTTGGTGCCCATTATTCCAGGCATAGAGAGCTCTATCTCTGGCATTGTAGTCAAGCATTGATATATGGAAATATTGATTGTGAAAAGGTATGTCTGTATATTCGTACGTGGAGGTTTTTGTCGAGTATGAATAGTAGACCTTGGCTCCAGTTAAGTGGGAATTGGTGACGTACAAGGTGCCACAGATCATGAAAGATTCGCCAGCACTTCGCTTAGGGTACCCGGTGCTCCAGGTTTTCATCACTTCTAAAGTATCCTGATTCAGTTGACTGATGACAATGTTGCCTGCATTCTGATTAGTGGCATAGACAGCCCACAAACCTATCTCATCGGCCATCAGATCGATATCAGAGAAGCCACCCCAGGTGTAGGGATAGACGTTGTGAAAACCAGCATACTCCAGGCTACGCTGAGCAAGCACCTGCCCAGTATCAAAACTGTACTTGATGATGATGTTGCTCTGATATTTGTTGAAATAGAGAGACCCGTTGTAGACAACATGATTAGTTCCTGCCCATTTGAAAGGGAGATTGTATGTCCTGGACTCTGCACCGCTGACAAAATCTGCTATGGATTTGTATTCACGGACAATTTTGTTGTTGGTGTAACTGTCCATATACCAAACCTGAAAGTGAGAAGAAACACATGTGCTTTGGAAAGTCAAATCAATGCACTATTTTAAATATTTGTATTAGTCATCTCCCTGCCACCCATATTTTGACTTACTTCCAGTAGCAAAAGAAAGCCAAATGTCAAAAATGGATGCAAAAAGTTACCAAAAGTTGTTTAAGAATGATTGCAAAAAAAGTGTAGATTTGCCCTTCCATAAATAAGAAAACAATGTGTTCAGATTCAGTATTTTAATGCTGCAACAACATCTACGCTACAACTTCATTTTCTTTATTCATGTTGCAGTAAGCCTGTTCTCTTGTTTACATAATATGAAAGTTATAAATTTATCTCTATGTGTTATATAAACACACCAAGAAGATACCTTATCTATCTATATATATGATAGGGTCCGACAGTGTCTGGCAGCAGCCACAGTCTATGCAGGTAAGTCCGAGCACTGCGACCACCAGGATGGCCCTCCAAACAGATGCGTGGGGGGGAGGCAGGCAATCCCAATGCATGGCGGCACCAGCAGCAGGTGGAGGCAGAGATAGGCAGGCAATCTTGATATGCTACACAGCTGCCTGCTCTGGCACTGCCATGGGCAAGCCGAGAGACACCCACCCACTTCGTCCCATCATCTCTTGGCTTGCCTGTAGCCGTGCTGGGGCAGGTGGCCGCGTAGTAAATAGGGATCATGTGCCTCCCCTGTGCCTCTGCTTGCTGCGGCGTGACAATGAACCTCCTGCCTGCCAAGTCCGTCCCACCGTTTCTCGGCTTATCTGCAGTTACTCTGGCAGCTGCATGGGATTTCTAGATTAGGTGCCTCCCCCCCGAATGTCTGCCTCCCTTGAGGCTTGGACAGGTAATCAACTCAATTGTGCTGCATGGGCTGCGCAGCCCCACAGTGCACTGGGTAAGGGGCCAGCAGGCTGTGGCCAGCAGACACCATCGGCCCCTGCCTGCTTGCTTCCCCGAATATGAATATATATATATATATATATATATATATATATATATATATATATATATATATATATATATATAGATGCAATCTTCGATCTCCGGGAAGAGTATACTCCAGTTATTTATTGTTAAAACAACATTTAAAACAATAAAAACAGTTATATACAAGACTAAAACAACTTAGCTTTCGCTGGTCCTCTGCCAGCGTCCTCAGAGTGGGGCTTAGGGGGTGGGAAGTTCTTTTTATCCCCTTGCTGATCCAATTGCCTACTCATTGCCCTCGTGACAGGGCCATTCTTCCTGATTGCCTGTGACTGCCTTAACTGTTCCGCCCTCTCTTTTTTGCACTCTAACATTGTATTTTTCTGCTCCGTCATCCTTGTGCTGTCTCCCCCTCCCTGCGCTGTTATCATTAACACACTCCTCAATCCCTCCTCTCTGCCCAATGCAAGGTGCCTCCTCCGATTCGGCAATACACGAGTCCTGTTGGGCTGCTGGTCCGTCTGCCGTTTTTGCATTCCATTGCCAGTTCCTATCTCATCTTCCTCCTCCAACTCCCTAGCCTGCCGATTCATACACCCTTTGTTGTCCATTCCTGTCATCCTTCCCCCCCTTCCTTCAACCCTCCCACCTGTTGATTAACATATTGCTCCTGCCTTTCATCAACCATTCCTATTGATGTTCTCTTCCTCAATGTCTTTTCCTTCCTGATCCGCTGCTCTACCTGCTGTTCCTGTTTACCCTCCTCCCCCACTGTCCATCTTCCCCTCTCCAATGTCCTCCCCATAATCTGCTGACTTGCCTGTTGTTCATCCATTTCTGTCCACCCTCTTTTCTAACATTCCTCCTCCTCTGACCTGCTGTCCTACATGCTGTTCCCACATGCCAACATCCATTACTATTAAACCCTCCTTCTCAAGCTTTCCTCCCCCCCAATCTGCCATCCTGCCTGCTATTCTTATCTGCTCTTCTCCTTTCCTGTCAGTCCCACCCTCTCCTGTTTCCTCCCCCCCTCTCCAATCCACTGCTCTGTTTGCTGTTCCTTCCAGCATTCTTCCTCCCCTTACCTGCTGTCCTACGTACTGTTCCCATCTACCAACCTGTGTTCCTGTTGGACTCTCCTTCCCAAACTTCCCCCCCCAAAACTGCTGTCCTGCCTATTATTCCTGCCTGCCCTTCTCCATTCCTATCAACCCCACCCTCTCCTGTTTCCTCCCCCCCTCTAATCTGCAGCTCTACCTGCTGTTCCTGGCTATTCTCCTCCATTCTTACTCCCTTCTCAAATATCCCCTCTCCCCCCGTGAATATGCTTCCAATCTTACGTGCCTCATCTTTTCTGTTCTTTTCTCTCTCCCCTTCCCTTTTGATCAGTCCCCTGGGGTCGGGCATACCCCTCCCCCGTGTTCTGGGCCATACGATCAATTCTGCTGTTCCCAAGAGTCTTCCCTGGTCCCTCATCATATCCACCTCCTCTTCCTTTACTACCCTTACCTGTCTGTGACCCTAATATTCCCTCATCTGTCTCTACCTGTGACGTGTCTATGGGATCCTCCCTATGTCTAGTCATGTAGTAAATACCCCCCCCCCACCAGTCCTGGTTTCGCCTCTGACAATCGGCATCCGTCTCTTGACATGCTCTTCCTGCACTCTTAGTGCCTGGTACGCCGAGGGCAGTTCTATACATCGGTTGATGGAGTCTGTGTTGGAGAACCAGGCCTCCTTTAGTAAGCATCCTCCTTTGGAGGCGCCTGGGCAATGGCTTCTGCCTCCTTGAAATCAAAAGAATGTCCGGTATTAATTATGTGCGTCCATATTTGAGAGTATTGCTCCTGCCTTCTGACAGCCAATTTATGTTCATGTATCCTAGTTTTTATTCATTTGGCTGTCTCCCCCATATAATTACATTGGCAGTCTTTGCAATGCACTCTATGACCGCTGATCTTTCTTCCTTCGGCAATGGCTCTTTAGGGTGCATGACTTTCATCCGGAGTGTTTGATCAGGCCGGTGAGCAACTTTAATATTATAAGGTGCCAATATATGCGCTGTTGTTTCCGATACTCCCTGGACATATGGTATTGTTGTCCGGGCCATTGTCCCTGGATCATTTGGTGCCCTGCGGGGTTCTTGATGTTTGCTATACCTCCGAATGAAGCGAGTTGGGTAGCCATTCCACTTACACACTTGATAAAGATGCGCACGCTCCCTCTGCTTAGCCTTCCTGGTATTACAGTGCGTGTCTATACGTGCAAATAATGTCCTTATGACATTATTTGCATGAGATTTTATGGGCTGCTGGGTGATTGCTCATATAGTGCAACATCCTGTCGGTGTGAGTGGCTTTTCTATACACCGTCGTATGGAGGGCACCATTAATTTGACGTGTAACCAAAACGTCTAGGAAGGCCAAGCTGCCATTGGCCTCCTCCTCCGCCGTGAATTGTATATCCGGGAATATTGAGTTAAGTTTCTCCATAAAGGCAGTTTTTCTTGCCCGTTTGATGATGACGAAAGTATCGTCCACATACCTGGCCCCAAACTCCGGTTGGTAGTCGGCCATGGCCCTGCTTTCCAAACACTGTAGGACCGCCTCCGCAATGACCCCCGAAATAGGAGATCCCATCGGCGTGCCCTTAATTTGTTCATATATTGTTCCTTGGAATATGAAGTACGTTTTCAAGCATAGCCGTAATAACCTGACAACATCTTCTATCCCAAGGGAACTTTGACTCCGTAGTCCTTTTAGTTGTAGTAGATCTTTTATAGTTGTCATGGCCAATTCTTGCGGGATGGACGTGAATAGCAATGTTACGTCGAATGAGATCATAATCTCATCGTCCCGTATCCTCATCCTCTTTAACCTCTGTAGGAATTCTTGTGAGGATTTCACAGTGGTTGTGTTGTCCTCCACTAGGTGTTGTAACCTTCGACTTAGCCATTTAGCCAGACCGAACATGGGTGTGCCCCTAAGTGCCACAATGGGTCTCAATGGTGTCCCTTCCTTATGTATTTTGGGTAGGCCATAAAATCTCGCCATAGCCGAGTCCCTTGACCGTATAGCTCTCAGATCTTCTTCATTTATTCCTCCACGTTTCTTAAGTCCATCTATGATCTTATTGAGTTGATTTTTCATGGACATTGTGGGGTCAGTCCTAATTACTTTATAGGCACTGTTGTCATCTAGTAAGGTCTTGGCCTTGCATTATACTTGGCTCTGTCCATGACAACCGTGGCCCTTCCCTTATCTGCTGGCAGGACCACGATGGATTTGTCCTTGCGCAGCTCTTCCAGGGCCTTTCTCTCCCCTGCCGGTAGTACATGGTGTTGTTTGTGGCCTGTAAGCAATCCCGTAACTCGTTGTCTTATGGCATTCTTCTCTGTCTCACTAGTGGCCATACCATGTATAGTTGGTTATATGGTTGAAGGAAGGGGGGGAAGGATGACAGGAATGGACAACAAAGGGTGTATGAATCGGCAGGCTAGGGAGTTGGAGGAGGAAGATGAGATAGGAACTGGCAATGGAATGCAAAAACGGCAGGCGGACCAGCAGCCCAACAGGACTCGTGTATTGCCGAATCGGAGGAGGCACCTTGCATTGGGTAGAGAGGAGGGATTGAGGAGTGTGTTAATGATAACAGCGCAGGGAGGGGGAGACAGTACAAGGATGACGGAGCAGAAAAATACAATGTTAGAGTGCAAAAAAGAGAGGGCGGAACAGTTAAGGCAGTCACAGGCAATCAGGAAGAGTGGCCCTGTCACGAGGGCAATGAGTAGGCAATTGGATCAGCAAGGGGATAAAAAGAACTTCCCACCCCCTAAGCCCCACTCTGAGGACGCTGGCAGAGGACCAGCGAAAGCTAAGTTGTTTTAATCTTGTATAAAACAACATTTGTTGTTTTAAATGTTGTTTTAACAATAAATAACTGGAGTATACTCTTCCCGGAGATCGAAGATTGCATCATTGAACACATATATATATATATATATATATATATATATATATATATATATATATATATGTTGTTCGGGTTTTCTCCCGCGTAAAATTGGAAGTGTCTTGGCAACGTTTCGACGAAGTCTCATTCGTCATCTTCAGGCTGGTGCTTTCAGCTTCGTGCTTTGAGCAGCAATGTGTGGTCTTAGCTGTTTCTTCTTTTTAACTGCCAGTGGGGGTATGAACTGATTGGGTGGGAGCTTGGCTGTGTTCTGATTGGGTGGAGGTGTGTTCTGAATGGTTAGGGGCTTGGCTGTGCTCTGATTGGCTGGGGGAGTGTTCTGTTTAGTTGTGCTCAGGTTAGTCTGAGTTGCAGAGGGGTTTAAGATTTTGGGCTGCCTTGCTATTTTCTGGCTTCGCGTTCGTGGTCGTGCCTCCTCTTCATGGAGGGTGTCAGTTTGCTTCATGTATGGACTGGAGGGGTTTAAAGTGGCTAATGATGCAGCTGTGGTCTGGCTTCTGGTTTGTGGTCGTGCCTCGTCATCAGTGTGGCTTTGGGTTTGTTTTTTGCGTGGATGTGTGGTGGTGACCTCCTGTGTGGTTTTTGTGAGTGTGGGTCTGGTATCATTTTTTGTGTTAGGGATTCGTTTGTCAATAAGGGCGGGTTTCCAAATGGCTGGTAGGCGGGAGGTATCATCTCGCTTGTTCATGCTGTGTGGGCGTTTTTCTATCTCGATGGCTTCTCTGATTAGTCTGTTATTAAAATGTTCACTTTTGGCAATGGTTCTGGTATTTTTAAAGTCAATATCATGTCCTGTGGCTTTAAGGTGTTGGACCAGGGAAGATGTTGGTTCCTCTTTTTTGACTGAGTTCTTATGTTCTTCAATGCGTGCACTTATTCTTCTGTTGGTTTGTCCAATGTATGTGGTGGGACAAGTGGTGCATGGGATTTTGTATACTCCTTGATTTTCTAATTCAATTTTATCTTTGGGGTTTCTAAGGATGGTGGATATTTTTCTGTTTGTGCAGAATGCTGTTTTGATGTTGTGTTTATGGAGGATCTTACTGATTCTGTCTGTGGTGCCTTTTATGTATGGGAGGAGGGCTTTGCCGTTTTCTTGTTCTTTGTCTTGGATTTTAGTGGGGGTTTCTTTTTGGATTAGGTTTGTAATCTTATTTCTATGGAATCCATTGGATGTTAGTACATTGGTGAGAGTGTGTAGTTCGGGTTTTAGGTGTTGTTCGTCAGCTAAGCGTTTTGTTCTGGAGATGAGTGTCTTGGCTACAGAGTTGATCTGTGCTGGGTGGTGGTGTGAGAGAGCGTGCAGATAGCGGTTTGTGTGTGTTTTCTTCTGGTAGATGGTGTGTCCTAGGGAGCCATTGGATTTCTTGTAGACTAAAAACTAAGAAAACCAACAGAAGAATAAGTGCACGCATTGAAGAACATAAGAACTCAGTCAAAAAAGAGGAACCAACATCTTCCCTGGTCCAACACCTTAAAGCCACAGGACATGAAATTGACTTTAAAAATACCAGAACCATTGCCAAAAGTGAACATTTTAATAACAGAATAATCAGAGAAGCCATCGAGATAGAAAAACGCCCACACAGCATGAACAAGCGAGATGATACCTCCCGCCTACCAGCCATTTGGAAACCCGCCCTTATTGACAAACGACTCCCTAACACAAAAAATGATACCAGACCCACACTCACAAAAACCACACAGGATGTCACCACCACACATCCACGCAAAAAGCAAACCCAAAGCCACACCGATGATGAGGCACGACCACAAACCAGAAGCCAGACCACAGCTGCATCATTAGCCACTTTAAACCCCTCCAATCCATACATGAAGCAAACTGACACCCTCCATGAAGATGAGGCACGACCACGAACGCGAAGCCAAAAAATAGCAAGGCAGCCCAAAATCTTAAACCCCTCTGCAACTCAGACTAACCTGAGCACAACCAAACAGAACACTCCCCCAGCCAATCAGAGCACAGCCAAGCCCCTAACCATTCAGAACACACCTCCACCCAATCAGAACACAGCCAAGCTCCCACCCAATCAGTTCATACCCCCACTGGCAGTTAAAAGGAAGAAACAGCTAAGACCACACATTGCTGCTCAAAGCACGAAGCTGAAAGCACCAGCCTGAAGATGACGAATGGGACTTTGTCGAAACGTCGCCAAGACACTTCCAATTTTACGTGGGAGAAAACCCGAACAACCAAAGACCTACATACAAATACCCGCGAAAACCTCAGAAAACATATATATATATATACACGCATATATATACACATATACACATACATACACACACACACACACATAGGACTTTGGTTATTCGGGTTTTCTCCTGCGTCAAATTGGAAGTGTCTTGGCGATGTTTCGATGAAGTCCCATTCATCATCTTCAGGCTGGTGTTTTTGGCTTCTTGCTTCTAGAAGCGAGAAGCCGAAAACACCAGCCTGAAGATGACAAATGGGACTTCGTCGAAACATCGCCAAGACACTTCCAATTTGACGCGAAAACCTCAGAAAACAAATATACACACATACATACATACATACATACATACATACACACACTGCCAACATCATCAGAGCATAATTCAAGATTACTGGGAGTCCTTTTTATATTGCCGGATGGTTCTGCGCCCGGCTTCTCAATCTAGTCATCAGTCTGTCCGTTTTCTCTACTTGGTTTGTTCTTAAAGGGCACACATCTCTTGCTGTGTTGGTATCTTCCAAGGTTACTATTTTCTTTTTCCTGGGCTCAATCACTTTCTTTCTGCTAGCATACGCTGGTTGCTTTCACTCGCTTACACTTATCCCTGGAATAGAACCAAAAAAGGGGATAAGTGTAAGCGAGCGAAAGCAACCGGCGTATGCTAGCAGAAAGAAAGTGATTGAGCCCAGGAAAAAGAAAATAGTAATCTCGGAAGATACCAACACAGTAAGAGACATGTGCCCTTTAAGGACAAACCAAGGAGAGAAAACGGATGGACCGATGACTAGATCAAAAAGCCAGGTGCAGAGCCATCTGGCAATATAAAAAGGACTCCCAGTAATCTTGTATTATGCTCTGATGATGTCGGCAGTGTTGGCCGACGAAAGCTTAGCTTTATCTTTTGTATTAAACAGTTTTTGTTTTAATATTATCCTGGTGCTCGACTATTTTATTTCTAATAAACACACACACACACACACACACACACACATACACACACACAATCTTATATATTTTATTTTTTTCTATACTGTTTCATATTTTTATGCTGTATTGTATACTATCCAGAGTCCCTCTTTGAGGGTGATGAGCAGTTCAGAAATGTGAAATGCAAATCCATGAATCCATAAATCTATCCATCCATCCATCCTCAAAGATTTGAGAGAGTTCTAAGGTTTACAGTCGTGAAAAAAAAGGTAAAATGCTAAAGTAGTCCTTCTTGCTGAAAACGAGGTAGTGGGGACTGAACATTGTCCATAAAAGTCAGCTGGAAAAGAAAAATGAGACAGAAGGAGAGGTGGACTGATTGAATTCATTATGTGTTGTGGAGGAGGTCACGGCTGGCTCTTCTACTGAACAGGTCCACTCCGATTAGAAGGTGAGAATAACATTGTTTGAGAATAATAATAATGTTTTTCTGCAGATTCTACTTTAGCATTTCAAAGTTAAAATAAGAAGCCCCTCTCATCTGTCCCCCTCAATCAAGATTCCCATTCTCATTTGGCACGATAATTATGGATGTGAAAACTGCACCCCATTTGCTAGACTTACAGATACCGAAAAGGATTTATTTCTCTCTGGCAATCAAGCTACACTGGAAGGAGAACGAGATTAGATGTATAAAGCATGCTTTGCCTGCAGATGGTCCTAGTTCATCTCCAGTCAAATGGATCTCTGTAACTAGCGTTTGCTTGAGCCTTTGGGGAATCATCGCTAGTCAGAATAAACTTTAAGTATAGCAGACATTAAAGTTTAAGACAAGCCTATTTGCCTGTTTATTTAAAACACTTTCATACTGCCATTCATTCTATTTAGAATTTCAGAGATAATAAATCAACTAGAAGAATTCCTCCATGGCTCCCAGCAAGAGAGAATATAAGCCACCTACTCTGTTGTTTTTCTCAGATGCTAATGGATCTGTCATCCAAGCTCCAAACCGGGTTCCAGATGTCTTGACTGTAATAGGACCGGTGATTTTCATCAATTTGCCGCAGGCTGAAAAATAAAAAGAAATCACGATATATGCTAGCTGCATTCATCTTCCTGGTTGAAGTGGGGGATGGATTAAGAAATCAATTTTGCTTTAAGTGACCTTCCACTCACATTTTGTCCCGTTCAAAGCAACAGCTTGTTCAGCTTCTCTAAGGAAACAAAGAACTATTTAGAGGTAGTCCTCGGATTAAGACTACAACTGAGCCCCAAATTTCCATTGCTAAGTGAGGCGGTTCTTAAGTGAATAGCCTGTCTCATTTTACGACATTTTCCCAAATCACTGCAGTTAAGTTGTTAGGCGAATCTGGCTTCCCCCATTGACTTTGCTTGTCAGCAAAGACAGCTGGGAAGGTTACAAATGGTGATCATGTGACTCTGGGACTGTCATAAATACAGGCTAGTTGCGACGTGCCCGAATTTTGATCATGTGACCATGGAGATATCAGTCAGGTTGTAAGTGTGAACACCGATCATAAGTCACTGTTTCCAATGTTTTGTAACTTTGAAAGGTTACTAACAAATAGTTGCACAACAAAGGAATACCTGTATTTAAGGAACATATAGGTAAACTATGGTCTCTGGATCACCCCTTCCAGCTTTAGTAGAGTAAACTGTAAAAATATATATATATCAGAGAGATGTTTTTCTTCCATTTTGAGCAGGAAACACAAAATTATAATGTAAATCCTACAAAAAGCTAGGTCTTTTTAAAAATTGACCCTCCTGTTACAAAGATTTAAGGAAAATACCTAAAGCAGAGGTCCCCATCTCCCCCCGAAGATGCCCTTGATCACATAATCCTGATCTTTGGAGACCTTTTGCCTTTCCTGTGCTGAATTTAGCTGTCATTCAGCAAAGGCTGTTCCTGGCTACTTTATTTGCTCCTGATTGTTTACAGGCAGGCTAAATGCGTGTAAAATGCTGCTTTTCCAGAATGCCTGTGGTGTGATGCATTGCTGTACAAGGGCTGTTGGTCCTTTCCTATTATGCTGAAACTTGATAATGTGTTGCCTTGTTTATTGCAGTTTAATCATGTATAACAGTTTTACCTTGCTGTTAGAAACCTTGAGCATTCTTACTTATACAGGATATAAATATTTTAAAGAAAGAAAAGAAAATGTAGGTTTATGCTCTTGTGTGGCTTTATCACACCTGAATGCATATGCTTTCCAAGTGGAAGGCTTGTATAGCAGTCTTAATGTTTTGGCTTTTTTTTTCTTTAAAGAAGGTATAAATAGAGATAAAAAGACAAGCAAAAGGATAAACACAAATGAACAAATAAGGAGTTTCAAAATATTAAGATTATAGTTTTCTATTACACCATTACTTAATTATGAATAACTGAATATATCATTTATTTTTAAAAGATTAGAAATGACTATTAAGCTCTAAGCTAATGATGAAGATCAAGAACCATGGTCAACACAGTATAAATCATGGAATAAGATGATGTGCCACATTAAATTCAATTTATCTTATTAAAAAGCCTGTTCTAATTTAGATATGCTATGAAATTGAAATATGGACGCTATGCATACTGAAACATAAATTTTGGGTGAAGTATGAAGGAATGATTTCCAGTTTGAATTGCATTCTATAGTAGATTTACTTTCAAGGCACAAAGTTATTCTAAATATAGAAGATATCCCACAATTTAACATTTCTCCTAATGAGTGGATCAAATAATCTTTCCAGGAAAAAGCATATGCTTTTTCCTGGAAAGATTATTTGATCCACTCATTAGGAGAAATGCTAAATATATATAAAGCAAATTCTGTATACAGCATCTTCTGAGGGAATACAGGTATAGTCTTCAACTTATAACCAGTTGCTTAGTGACCATTTGAAATTACAGTAGAATGTGCAAAAGTTAGTTACAACCTTGTTTTAAAGTTCTGAGCCCCCCCAATCATGTGATATTTTGGATGCTCAGCAATTGGCCAGCATTTACGGCTATTTGCAATGTCCCAGGTCATCTGACCAAGATTTATGATGTTTTGGGTGAAAACTGCCTTTTACTTTCAGTTTTTTGCAAAAATGCCCCCTAATGAGCAATGGCCTCATTTACCAACTACAGTCTTGTTTTACGATCACAGCATTCACTATATAACCACATTTGTTTAATGACCATTGCAAAAAAGGTCATAAAATCATATTGACCATAAAATCAGATTGTGGTCAACATGATTTACAAGTGTAGTGGGCAGTGTCCATTACCTTTCTAAGTAGAGGACTACCTGTGTGTGTTTTTTGTAAGGTTCAGTAAAAATAGTTCAGGTTGAAATGGGAATTAATCTTTTAAGATTGTTGCATTTTAAAGAAATTGCTTTCCAGAACTGTTGGGCTTTACAACTTTGGCATGAAATGAAAGCTAATCTGTTATCCTTCTTATCTTTTCTACTACCTTCTCCCATTGATATCTTATGATTACAGTACTTCGTTGTTTGTATGTATACTGAGAGCTTATGCAGCGGAGACAAATTCCTTGTGTGTCCAATCACACTTGGCCATAAAGCTATTCTATTCTATTCTATTCTATTCTATTCTATTCTATTCTATTCTATTCTATTCTACTCTACTCTACTCTACTCTACTCTACTCTATTCCTACTATCATTACATTTCGATTTTTGGATAATGAATCTTCCAATTAGCTAAGAGAACTAGAGTAGAATACCAACGATAAAACACCTAATACTATTTATTTTTTGTTAGTTTAATATTCAGAATAAATTTAATATCCTTCTTCAACTGACGTTCCCACTGTTGTGTATCTATTACTGCATCCCAGTTCTGCATTTATTGTTCTATAATCTTTCAGTCTATCATTTGTAAGAGATCTATAGCTAAAGCAAGATGACCTCTAGGTCAGAAAACAGAGTTATCCCTATCAGAAACAGCCAGCCTATTGGATATAAATGAAACTATAACACAAGTTTTATAGTTGTAGAAGAAACATAAGAACAGAATGCAGCGTTAAAAATTGAATTGATTTCTACCTTCATCTAAGATCTCTCAAATTAACTACTCTTCAGAGATCTATATTTTGAATCTTCTTTTATGGGAATGCTATGCTTCTTGTTAACCTTAATAATGTGTGACTATTGAAATGAAAAGGCCTTGTCTGCTAGCAATGGGTTTGGCATAAGGTTGCCTGCTTTGGGTATTAAATAAGGCAATATTCCCCCATTTTTCTATTTTAATTTAAATTATGGTATGATAGTTTACTGCCCAGAGTCAATTGGATTGAGCTGGGTAGTTAGAGAAATTGAATAAAACGATTAAACAAATATTTCCCCATTCTGCTTTTCATTATTGCTTTTTCCTTATTTATTCCACATGTTTAACAAATTCCATTCAAAGGGAATAAAATATCTAGCTTAATGGGATTTATTTAGCAGTGAGAAATATATACAATTAGATTCAGAGGCAGGATTCATTTCTGACAGCACTTCTTGCTATAGTCAACTGGATTTTTTAAGAATTTCCATACACACTGAACAAAGTAGGGCTGCCAAAAATGTGCCAATTGTAATTTATTACCAATTAGTTTTTAAATCTTCTGCATATACAGTATGTGTTTTTAAAAGACATGTTTAAAAAATGTGTTAAATTACTTTTCAAATGAAAAGTAAACTACTTTTAAACCACATGTTTAGAATGCATTAAACTACTTTTCAAATGAATATCTTGACATAAATACAGAGATATTGTTTTTAAATTGAAGATGAAAGTGAAATCAGGAGACAATGAACTCTTTAAAAATGTTTATAAATATGGCATAGTTCTGATACACTATAATGGATGCGTTCTTGGAAATTTGCTGCGTATTTCTTTTTAGCAAAGTATATTTTTTCATTTGCTTATACCTCATTATTTTTAGACTTTCATGCCTAAGGCAGGACTAGAACTCAGTCTCCTGGTTTCTAGGTTGACGTCTTAACCACTACACCAAACTGAACAGACTATCTCAGTTAGCCATTTTCCTTTACTTATAATGAGAAAAATGCTCCAATAATTTGCCTTAAGACATCACATTCATTGCCAAACCAAATGAATAGGGAGAAAATAAGTTGGAACTAAATAGACCTTGAAGATTAAAAATGAGGCAGGCAGGAAGCAAATGTCACAGAACTGTGCATATCTTCTCATCCCTTTTCAGAAATGCGTAGTATTGCAAAAGGAGCCCTGCAATGAGTTTGCTCTAAAAGTTTCCCTTCAAATGGCAGCCAGTGAAGCACTGCAGGAAGAGGCCTTACCTCCTTGCCCTTTGGGGTCCCAAATGAAGTGGGATAGACAGAGGAAGAGATGAAAGGGAGCTATTAATTTTGGCATTAACTCCATTCCCAGGGTGTGTAGTTTCAGCTACAAATTCTGAGCAGTTAAGTAGACTACTTGGATATCATGTAAACTTTAAGTAAAGGCACAGCAGTGACTGGGATGACCACAGAATAAAGTCAACCATGGCTCTTGGTTCAGTTTTTCAACTTTGTTTTAAATCCAGTGATTCAGTTTTCCTAAATAAGGTCCTGATTAAGTAATATATTTACATTTCTCTCCCGGGCTTAAAATTAAGGTGCCTAAAACGAGTCACACAACTTCCCAAAGTCACTTTGTAAAATGAGGTGAATGGCATAATAAATGTAATCATCACCATCATCTCAGATGCTACCTTAACAGCTCATAGGTCCTTGCTTAAGACTTGAACTGTTAAGTTTTTACCAGTCCCAGACTGTGAATCGAATTAAAGAAATATTAATATCAATACCAATATCATCATCATCATCAATAATAATAATAACAACAACAACAACAACAACAATTGCATGCAACCTCCCCAAATAAGTGGCATTCAATCCCAAATCCAAAAGGTGCCACCCACTTGTCAATTTAAGTTGGAAAGAGGAATAAGGGGGATCAACAATAGGAATATTCTTTTTGGTTTTTATTTTCTTTTACTGATTTATTTACTAATTTATATTATTTTATTTTACATCAAATACT